AGTGAAACAACATATTGGTTGGAAAACCAGTTGCTTGTGTGTATAATTACTCGATATCAAATCAAAATGGTTAATTAATATATTACAGTAACCCAGAAGCACAATTTGAGCTTGAACAGTATTTGAATTGATCATAACTAGAATCAGCTGTCAAAGTTTTGAATGATTAAAAATTAATTAGCATAAACTGGCAGTTCAAACAAGTGTTTTAAATCATCAAACTTTTATACAAATCACATTCATGATAAACTAAGACTGTATTTGAGCATGATATCTAGCACAAGTTTGTATGCACACAGATATATAGAGCAGAGCAAGAAAATAATGTGGGCAAACTCGGATAAAGATTAAGTAGAACTTTTTTAAGATATGTATCAAGAAATACAAAAGACAAAGCAAAACAAAACAAAAATATTGAATAAAAGTGACTATAATAATAGAGATTTTTCTCTATAAAATCCACAAACCTAAATCAAAGAAAAACATACCTGAAGTCTCGAATCCTTCGTCCATGAACCTCAAAAACTCCAAGTGCACCATTTACCAATGCAAATGCAAAACTTTCTGAAAATTCTTCTTGAGATCCATCGCCTCCTGCTTCCTCTGCAATTATTACATTACTGCATGTAAATAATTAACGGTAGACACGTGCCAGCAGAACGAACACAAGATATACATCAAAGGACTTCTCCAAGAAATAAACAAGAAGTTCGAGCAAGAAACGCTGACTGGAATCTGTTGAAGATGCCTTTGTTGGAGACAAGGTCCCAGTGGGTCCGCCTGCCTGATCTCTAGATAAAAATGACGAGCTCTTTGAAGGTTTATTTTGTGTTGGATGGGGAACTGTTGGTAGTGTCCATTCAAGGACGGTGAAGGGAAGAGCTAATGATCTTAGCTGCATGATAAAGTAAAGTACGATGAACATGTATGACAAACTAAGATTGAAGAGAAAAAAATAATAACCTACACCATTTGTAGACTCATATTATGCAAATGTTGATGTATGGATATATAAGAAGAATTTAACAACAAAGAAATTTCAATATTCATATTTTCTAACTGCATTTACATACAACTCAAAAACTTTTGAAAATAAAAACAAGCTAAAAGCAATACATCCATGTAAGATTTCTTAAGAAGAAAACAGTAAAAATCAGTGATTGTCTGTTTCTTTGCAACAAAAAAAGAAATTTCTTCTAGTTCAGTTTCATTCCATTAAGATCCAACCAGCCATCTGTGTAGAAATATATTTATGATCCACAATGATTGTTGAAGCTCTGAAACAACTAGCTGCACACTCAAATTATTTCAAATATCTAACAGAAAATTATTTAACAAGAAGAATGGGAATAGAATATTGAATCCTAATAGATAAATTATAGAGAGAGAAGAGGACTTTGGTGAATTTACCATAATTGGAGTCTTGGTCATTGCCCAAACCTCTACAGGCGCATCCCGGAATAAAATTAAAAGATACCTATAAGAATTTTTAGCCATTTAGGAACAATCACGGTACAAGTTGCTCAAAAAATAATGATTGATATTCAGCAAAGCACTCAGGTATCCATTCAAAATGCTAGAAACCCCCCCCCCCCCAAAA